TATGAAACCATGTCACAATTGATCCTCTAAGGACACCTTAGTACATTTGTATGGCTAAGAAGAGGAATCGTGAATTGTTGAAATGGTTGAATCAAAAAGGGTGAGTCACACTTCGTTCCAAAATCAATTCTTAGAGTCATAAACACATCATGAAATGTAGAGTAGAAAAGTTTTCTTACTCATGTACATTTGAGATTGGAAGTTGTGATGTTTTGGATAAAACAAAGACCAAAACCAATCGTATGAAGTGTTGTTCTTGATGAGAAACCGTACTAATTCTTGAATATTGTTTTGTCGAGGAATGTTTCTTAACAATAGAATCTTATATGTCAAACGAGAAAGGTCGGTAATTCCCTTCAAACTAGTGAACTAATCATCTTTATGCAAAGAGTGATAATATATATTAAGTTCACCATCAAGTTGCATCATCTCGGAATCATCAAAATCATTTTTATACAACTCACTTAACTTCAGTAGCATTGTTATTTCCAAATTTAGCAAAATGAATCATAAGGTCTCAGATCCCTTGTGTATATTAGTAATTAGGTGCTTATTTAACTACATCAATTCCAAATTCTATAATTTGCACATCTACAACCGTGTTGAAAATTTCAACTTCAAAATGAATCTAATTAGTAACTTTGGTCCTACTGCCTCTCGGGGTGACATAATTTTCAGTCATATCCACAATATTAATATTATTTTTTTAACAAAAAGAAAATACTATCGACAAAGTTTTATCAGGCCTCGTAATTCTTAAAGATTTCAATGCATCCATTGTCCCTCTATCCAAATAAGTCGCTTCTAGAATGTCTTGATCCTTTTTTAAGATACTTTGATAGTACGCTCGTGAGGTGTAAAACTTCATACATCAAATGTAAATAAAACACAAAATCAAGTTTCTTGAAATATCTTAAGATACCGTATGTTTGATTTCGGTTATTTATAGTAGATCCCTCCTCTTCAACATAAACAAGAACCTTAAGAACCTTCGGAAATAAGTTCATCAAACTTGTGATTGTTTTGAAATGTGAACCTTATTTTGTATCTCCCGCTCAAATAATAGAACTCTCTTGATTTAACCCTTTTCAATTTTAAGTTCTCCATTACCAATTGCCTTTTGCACCCTTTCTATGTAACTCTCTTGTAGCATGTATTTTCTTTTACATGAACCACATACCAAATTAACCACCAAAGAAATTTGCTCAAAGAAATCTTCAACATCATCGTGCTCTTTGCTACATCCACAATAACTTGTTGAAGTCGGTGTGCAAAGCAATGTACATAATGTGCTAAATCGTTATCCTGTAATATCAAAGCTTTCATACCATTGAATGTACCTCACATATTGTTTGCCCTATTGTGACCTTGTCCTCTTACCTATTAAAAAAATAAGATATAAGACATAAAGAAAATAATATTCAATTAAAACACATAATAATCAAAAAAAAATTATTACCTAATTCATACTTAATTTATTACCAATAAAAACTTTATTTATAGCCTCTTTAAGAATATTTGCATGCCAAAAATTCAAAATAAATTGAATAATGTAATCTTTATTCTTTAGTTTAAAAATTCTTATAATCTCCTTCTACTCTTTTACAACCAATAACTAAACCTTCTATGAACTAATGATTTAGTGTTGTTTGGTAAAACTGTTTAACGAGAAAAAAATCATTTTAACTTTTTAAATCAAAACAACTTCAAAAATTTAACAAAAAAAAATCATCAATTTATAAAGTGTTGTATATCAAACAAATTCAATTCACACATGAATTTTATCATACTCATTAAAGATCAACTCGAAATGAATCCTTCTAAAGTTGACATGACCTAATCTTACATGCTAAAGCATAGATTTATCAACATTAGAAGTAGAAGATACAAATGCAGAATTTTGAACAGGTAATAATTTGTCACCAATATTCAAACGAAACATTCTATTATTTAAATATTCAAAGCCAACAAACATTCCACCCTTAGATAAGATAAACTTATCTGACTCAATAACTTTTTTAAAACCATCAGAATTCAAACAACTAGAACTAACAAGATTCTTGCGAATCTTGGGAACAAACAAAACATCAAAAAGTCTAATTGTCTTTCCAGAAGTAGATTCAAGAAACACGACACCAACACCACAAATAGGAATAAAAGAATTGTCTCCCATTTTCAGCACCAATCCATCTTCAAGCGGAGTTAATGTTTCAAATATCCGTTTATCCTTACATACATGGTTCGTTGCCCCAGAGTCGATCCACTAAGAAACATCATCATCCTGAACATAGAAAGATTCAGGAATGAATGAAACATAGTAAACATAATTCTTATTAGAATTATCAAAGTTAGTCAAAAACTGACCTCCTTTAACTTGGTCGAAGACTCATTCACTTTTCCACTGGCTCCACTGTTTCCAGCACCATTGTTGCCTAAGTTCACACGACAATCATGTTTGCAATGCCCAACCTAATTGTACCTCCAACAAACCAGATCCTTTTTCTTTTTTTTAGAGTTGCTTGGGACATGTTCCTGCTTACGTTTGCCATGTCCTTTGTGGTTCTGATTTCTTGGTTTTTTTTCAACCATATGAACCGAGGGTTGTCCAGATTCAAATTTTCCGTTGGGTTTATCAGATTTTTCACTTTCCTTCGCACGAAGAGATTCTTCAATACGAATATGACTAGCAAATTGAACCAAAGACAGTTCCTCCTTTTGATGTTTGAAGTCCTTCCAGGATGGAGGAAGTTTGTCAATGATGCTTGACACAGCAATGGATTCATCCATATTCATACGGTGCAGTTTAAACTGACCATATATGCCAAGGAGTTCATTGTATTGTTCAGTGACAGATCTTGAATCGTCCATCTTAAAATTATTAAAATCACTGACCAGGAATTTCAGAGTAGTTAGCATGAAGTGCATCTTCTTCTTCCAACGCCTGAAATCGATGCCTTCGAACTTCTCCAGCTTTTCAAACTTCGTGGTCATCTCGCGGATTGAGTCTCCCATCTCTAGAAACATGAAATATCAGTTCGATTGTTGGATGAAATAGGGTTTATGTTGGAGATCTGGATACCCCTTGGATCGTGTGAACACTTTCCGAACTGATATTTCTACCCTATGTCTGGGTTGCAAAAATTCAGCCTAGGATAATCCAAGAGGACACTTACGAATCTAGGCATAGAAAACGTAACCCAAATTGCTAGAAGGATTTTGTGTTCGTTTTAAGAAAAAGAGAGTTAATAATTTGTGTGTCCCTCTTCTCAAAGAGAAGAGTCGTTTATATAATAAACGAGATTAGGGTTTCTCTTAGGGTTGCCGTCATGGGTTGCTTTGGAAGCAAGTCAAGGAAATCCATATTTTAATGAGGATTTAGGGTTTCCAAAACTACCGAAATTCGTTAGTTTTACCATAATCACCCTCAAAAATTTGAATTTCTCACTATGGTCCCATATGTAAAATTTAGAGACCTTTTGGGGCATTGCCCCAAACCCCACGGGGGCGCTGCCCCTTTGGAAACCCCGGACCCAGGAGCGCTGCCCTCGGGCCCCCGACTTGTCGTCGAACCGGCTTCTAGTTCGATCTTATACATGTGTGCACTCCACACAAACCCGTACATATATTAGAGTACAAATTATGAAGCTCCTTAGCTCACATGTTAGTTCCAATTACATAAAATGACCTGGTGACACTAAAATCACCAACAGGATACCTCTTAATAAAACCAGTAAGAAGTATACCAAACATCCCCGAACTCTCACCGGATATGTACGACTGAACAGGTTTTCAAACCTAACCTCGAACTGGTTTTGGTTTGACCGATCTGGTTCAGCCTAGCATGTTCGATTCAGATAGACTCACCATATTACAATGTCTAAAGCGGTCTAGAAATCTAGTCAACGAGGTCAACAGGCCAGTTGAAAACTAGGCTTTGAGACCACTTCGGACCTAAAAACTAGCCTTTTTCCCCAATAAAAATGATACTTTTTAGAAAATAGGTTTATATTGGTTCTTGGAAATTTCGGACCATTTGCTCCTCAATATTATGTGGTGCTCAAGCAGAAGGTCTGTGGTGTTCGGACATAAGGTTTGCGGTGCTCGATAAACAGGTATGCGTTGTTCGGACTTGAGGGGCTTATGACGTTTTTGGCTTGGCTCAAGCAGTTTTGTATGTCAACAGTCAACTCTTCATTATAAATAGATAGTCGTGTATGTTTGTAACTTGAAGTATAAAGGCTACAATTATAATAAAATCTCTCTCTAGTTCTTCCGCAGATTAGCCAAATTAAAATCATGGCCATGTTAAATCGTTGTATTCTAATTTTTTCTGCATCTTTATCGTGTGGTGTTATGTGGTTATTGATTTTGTATCCCAACAGAAAGTGGCTGTTTTCATTTGTTTTCAACATACCTAAAAGAAAACCTACCTGATTCTTGACAAATTATGTGTTCTCAGTTTTCAATTTGTGATATCGACTTTCATAGTTCATAATCTCTGTTATCATATTACTGCTTCCGTCTTAGTGCTAACTTTTATATTTTTCGTAATCCACATGATATCAGGAACATATCTGGAGACATTAGATAACGCAATTGCATCTGAATGGAAACGTTACATATATAGAGAAAGAGTACGCACACACATACAACGAGAAAATGCATGAAAAAACAACAATAGCATCTATAGCTTTATTCTGCATGTTCGTACTAGTATCACCAAGTGAAGTAGTACGTACTACTATCATGATTCATTTTTCTTTCATTAAACAGACCATTAATTTTTTAACATTTAGGAATCGAAACGCCACAAGCTGAAACAACCTTCTTGGCATTTGGAGAGTTAATGTATTGTCCAAGACTAGGGTTCTTCACGTACCCACAGAAACAAGGCTGTTGTGCTTTCAACTTGCTGCAACAAGCCACAGATGGTGTCGCCCCACTAGAGAGAAACGCAGCACATGGCAACAACTCTTGTGGATTACAAGTTGCAGCATTCGTCTTCTCGACATTGTCCACAAGCATCACCACCAACGCACACAAAACAATGAATGAAAATGCCTTCTTCATCATTTCAAAATGAGAATAATAAGTTGAAACTAGAGATCACAGAAAGGAAAGATGGTGATTTGTGGTTCTTCAAGCTTAAAGCTTCGTAATTTATAGTGGTTTAGTAGGGTTTTTTGGGTTATTTAATGGTTTTACTCAAGATTTTGGAAAACCTTATGTGGAATAATATATTTTCAAAGTTTCTTGACTTAAAGTGTTTGGTAGAAATGTTTGGGTTTGGTCTTCTCTACGTGGGTATGCTTCACTTTCGAGCTTTCTTTGGGGCAAAAATGCAAGTGACCATTCACCAACTTTGATGAACTAACAATCAATAGATATCGTATACAAGTAAAATCCCCACAGTTGTTTGAAAAATATTAATTTAGTCTTTTTTATAGTTGGAGATGAGAGTTTTATGATCAAGATGTTATTGCAACCACTTAATATAGTTCAAAGACTTATTTTTCATATTGGGTCTGTCCTTGGCTCTTACTTTTAATATCATCTCATTTTCCAGCTTAGCCATATTTAGATCTTATCTTTTTATTATTTTTAAACCATTAATCAATTTCATTAAATATAGAGTTGTATAATTTGAACAATAAACTAGTCTACCGCAAAATTAACTGTATCATAACAATATAATATCAGTATTTTTTATGATTCCAATAAATCATTCATACATTTTTACGTGTTTTAAAACATTGTTCAGTTCTAATTAGGTTGGGTATTATATCTCTCTTTCACCTATTAATCTTTATGTGTCACGTAAGCACTATTTCATTTCCACTAGATCTTTTATTCCTTTGTTTCAACTTAAGTGCTGCCCTTCTTCACGTTTCCCTCATTTATTTATTTTCATATAGACACATATCAAGAACATGTACAACACCTAATGCATTATGTAAAGCTTTATATGCAGAAAAAAAAAGGGAGGAGGGAGTTCCCCTGGCGGGGGTGGTGAGCCCAGGCACCGCCCTGAAGGGTGTGTGTTTCCGCCGGTAGCCATTGGACCACCTCAGATCCCGCCACACAGTGGGGTAACCAAAACACCCAGCCTTTATCTAGTATGTCACTTCCCATAAGTTTTATGATTATTTTCTTATATTTGAATATTAAATAATTTATTTTTAAAAGTATCATTATTACGAAGTCTTAGTGTAGAAAGTTGTAAATATCATTATTAGTAATTCAAAGTAACCAAACGGGGAAGAGGAAAATGGAAAGATCGAGTAAATGATGCAAGATGAGATGGAAAGAGTATGCACACTCTATACTATATGTACCATTTTGTGAGTAAAACCAAATGCAATTTTTTTTTTGTTTAAAAAAAATACAAAAACAAAAACAGTTTTGCATTTTGGAATAAAAACGTTATGTCTGTTTTTTATTTTTTTTCTTGCCTCTTTATCATTTAATAATATATATTTTACTAAAGAGAGATATATACAAATACACATGTTTATTATTTTAATTTTCAATAGAAATTATGAAATGTTAATAATTTTAAATACTAATATACGTTTTTTTTTCTTTCTTTTTAGAACGACGAATTTATATATGTTTGTGAGTGAATCCCTTGTTAGAAAGAGTATATCTAATCCATTAAACATTTATACAAGCTATTGTCAATATTTTGGTGCAATTGGATTGTTTTATTTTTATATATAGAAAACCATGCGAAACCATTTGGTTTTTTATAGACATAAGCAAAATCAACAATTTCTTAAAACCTTTCATTTATTTTTTGAAAAATTAAATATTCTCCTCTCTTTTGGTTTTACTTATATTTTTATTCATATAAAACAATGACATGTAAAATCTATTAATTCTCTCTTAATTTCATTTCTTGATCTAATAATTAGAAAAATTAATAAAAACAAGAAAAAATTGCAAAAATGGTCCATGTGGTATGTATTTTTTTGGGGTTTTAGTCCAAACCATGACTTTTTTGTCTTCATGGTCCTTTTGGACTAGTTTGTATGTGAAAATAGTCTCTCCGAAAATTAAAATGACTATAATACCCTTGGTATATTTATTTTTCATTTTTCTTTTTTCTTTCATTTTTTTATGTCTAATACTAATTCATTTATTTTAATAATTAATAAAATAAGAAGGGCTCTCTCTCTCTCTCTCTCTCTCTCTCTCTCTCTCTCTCTCTCTCTCTCTCTCTCTCTCTCTCT